AGAGAGAGAGAGAGAGAGAGAGAGAGAGAGAGAGAGAGAGAGAGAGATTCAAGTCTACCTGTCAATAGGAAAATGGAATCACTGAGTTGAATGGATGGTATATTAAACACAAGGAGCTCTGACACAGGGAAAACAATGTCAAGCCTTTCAATGGCTTAAGGGTCACAAGAGAAATTTTTGTTTTGTGTTCTTAAGCCTTTGATATTGCTACCTCTGCCTCTTGAGACTTCATTGCATTAGTCTCAAAACAGAATTACCACACACAGGCACACCAATACATGTATACAGTCACACATGTCGGTCAGATTTCTGCTTTTATCTCATTGCCCACTGTTCTCATACAAAGCTTAATTAAAATTCTTCCTGAAAACTTTGTCTGCTAGCATTGATGCAGGAAAGCACATGCTATGTGACTCAACAGGCTTTATTGAGGCTGAGAAGGAGCACATGCTTTCACTATTGAACTCATGTAAATATCCAGAAAGATTATTTTCTTTTGAACTAGAAATAAGATTTTCACTATGCCTAAACAGTAGAAGGAAATCTTGAAAAGAATTATGATGCATACATACTAGAAAGCTAAACTGAGTTCTACCTTAGGCTCATCAAGGAAATATGCAAATTTATGTTAATACTATTCATCCTTTTAGTATTGACTGCGCCAGCTTGATTCACTTATAAAAGTGCTATTTATAAGTCTTTTCAGAGAATCTCTGTGCTGATGAGGTAATTTTATGGGTTAAAAAAGTAAATACTTGGTTAACAACTTCTCTTTCACAATCTTGAATGCTGAAGACTAACTGTTCAAGAAATATCTCAAAACTCAGAATCCTTCTCACATATTTCTCAATGTATATTTTTGCAAATTATTGATATAAAGTAAAGTTAATGTGAACTCATATAAAATGAAATAATGCTAACAAATGTGTTTAATATGTTTTTAATAAATAAGTCAAAAGAAACTGTAACAGTAACCTTTCATTTTTTGTAGGAGCCATTATACCTTTAACAAACAAATAATTAATTACAGCATTTAAAATTTGTGTTTTTCTAGAGAGAATCTATAGTACCTTAAATAAGATTCTAATGTTTTTACTGCAGAGAAAGTATATTTGTCTGCTAAAGGCCCTAATTAGTCAATTTCCTCTAATGACAACTGAAATCTAAAAATAGAAAACTTCTGAATTTTAAAATAATCAATTTGTGTCACACACTTTTAACAGCAATCACATAACATATCTTTAAATGTTCTCTCATTTATAAACAAGGGGGAAACCCAGGACTTCTTAAGCATTTATCTTACCCCTTTGATGACAGCTGTGTAGTTATCTGAACTGCTTCAAAAGCACACATCACAAGAACAAAGGGAATTAAAATCTGTTTCCAAAAACAACAAAAGATGTCATTGGTAACAAGTGCCTGAAACACGTCTGACGCAAATACTACTTCTGCTTACAGAATGACTTTCAATCTCTCAAACAACTTATATACCAGTTGAGAGAAAACAGAGATAAAGCGTGAAACTGTCACATGGGACAGTGAACAACAATTTAAAAACCAACAATAATACACCAAGAATAATAGCAAAAATTAACGTGTATTCCAAATTAAAATCTCCTACAATTTTGCCCTACTTGACATATTCTGCTGATTCGTGACAACGTTCATGTTTCCAAGAGCATGTGACAGCGTGTGCCCAAAGCTGGTCAGTTGTGCAGCCTGCTGATACGACACACAGATCAGTGGACCTGCTCATTACTAGATGACCACAGCACAAGAACACAACTCATCTATTTCATTATTGCTCTTCTGAGTTTAAAAATGGTACTTTATTTATGATTATAAACTTATACTCAGTATAGTACATTTGAAAACATATGCAGAAAACATAAGATTTTATAGTAATTGAAAGTTCATCATCTAGACCAGATGCTCTTAGCCTTCCTAAGGTTGTAACCCTTTAATAGTTCCTTATGGTGTGGGAACTCCAACCATAAAATTATTTCACTGCTACTTCATAACTGTAATTTTGCTACTGCTGTGAATCATAATGAAATATCTGACATGCAGGATATCTGATATGCAACCCCCAATATTATTAATATGTGTGGAGTATTATTTTACAATAAAAGTTTTAAACTTTTTTCATTCTTTGAGAACTTCATACATGCAAATAATGAAATGCAATCATATATATACATTATATATATATATTTTATATATATATATATATATCTCCTACTCTTCCCATATCTCAACAAAAGACTAAGTCTGTATTTCATAAGCTGGGGGTGGTTTATGGTAAAGAAATGATGTTCAAGACTTAGAAGATTCGTCTCCAAAGGACATATGAACACAGCAGAGTTCAGGAGTGTGCTCACCACAGTACTCATCAGCTAACACTAGCTGTCAAGTGCATTATGTTGCTACAACTTACTGAATTATGACAGAAATTAAAGATCTACTATTTTAATTTGATTTTTTATGTTTAATTAGTATCATAGTCCTCAGACTAAGCAAAAAAATCACTAAAAACTGTAGATGATAATATAGGGAGACCCTAATATATTTTAAAACAAGTCAATAGAGAATAGAGACTGGGACTTCTTATCATTTCTCAAATTACATTTCTATTACTGTAGTAAAAACAATCAGCGAGACTGGTTTAGCACAGAAGCTCCAACCAAGAGAATGTACACCTTCAACACTTATTATTCCTGTACCTGAATATTTAAAGAAATATATACTAACCACATAAGATGTACCAAGTGCTACAGAGGAGAAGTTTAGTAAACCGGTAAGGATAACAACTATGATGGTTTGAATGAGAAATGCTCCCCCACAGACCCATGTATTTGAGCATTTCATCACGGCTGGTAGCACAATTTGGAAGGTTATGAACCTTTAGGTTGTCAAGTCCTATAGAAAGAAGTACATCGCTGAGAGCAGGCTTGGAGAACTTATAGTCTGGCTCGCACTTCCTGTTCTCCCTGTTTCCAGTGTGCAGATGAAATGTGATCTCTCCGCTTCCTAACTGCAAGACTGGATTGGATTTATGCTTCTGCTTCTATGCCATCTTTGTCATGATGAACCAAATCCCTTCTGGAACTGTCAGCCAAAACAAACCCTCTCTTTCCTAACTTGCTTTTTATCAGGGCATTTTATTACAGCAACAGAAAAACAAATAATATTCTACCACAACCTTTATCTCTAGAAACCTGAACATGTAATTACTTTCATACTGTGAGCACTCAGTTAGTACCTGACATATTACATAAACAGAATACTCAATGAGACATTTGTTAAAAGGACTGACCAATTCTAGGTACATGGGAAAATGATAACATAGTGACTGTCCTATGGTTGGAGACCACAGAGTCAGGAAGCTTCTTGAAAACACACAGTTTGGTCATAGTTCTCCTACAGCCTTTAATTCTGATATGATTTTCTTGAGTTAACAGAATCCTTATTCTTTTATAGTCAAATAGTTTTAAGAATAAAGCAAAGATCAATGCTATCTGGAAGCAGGGGTCCAGGGTCGCCTCAATCAACACAAGTTTGACAAGGTACCTCTGCTACAGTGACTTTACAATCTTAATGCAACATAATGCACAACCTTAATATCAAAATCTTTAAAGCATTTAATGAAAGTAATAAAATTAGAAAACCAACCTTCCACATCATGAGAGCTCCCATCATGAAAGGACTAAACACAGTTAGAAAGCAATACACAGAGGCAAGGTCAAAGCTAGACAATGCGAAAGGAAAGAGAAAAGATTTTAGAATTCATACTTTAACTTTAAAAGAATATTCTTTTAAAAGAATGTTCAGAAGTTCTCTGAAATTGCCTCTTACTAAAACTGAGTCATACTAGAATAAACAAAATGTATCTATATGCTAATCTCCATTATTATCATATTATACTACAATATACTGTATTATTGAATATAAAAACAAGGTAAAATGACTGGACAGATGGTTCAGCAGCTAAGAGCAGTTGTTACTATTCTAAAGGACCCAAATCATCAGGTGACAGCCTGTCACTCCAGTCCCAGGATAGCTGATATTCTTTTGGCCCAAGGGTGTGCGCGGGCACACACCTACACGGGCACACACACACACACACACACACACACACACACACCACACACACTAAATGTAAAAATTTACCTATTAATAGAAGCTATATTTCCAGTTCCAAAAAACGCAGTCACTAAAAAGAAAACCTACATACAGTTAAGGAAATGCATAAATAAACCAGAATTCATAACATTTCTTTCTTTCCAAATCATTTATTCTTGTCTAATTGTCAAGAGAATCTTGCAAGTAGTGACTAATCTTGGTTTACAAATGAAATATTTCCAATTCTACTTCCACATCAAGCATCTTCTTAATGAGTCTGGGTCAAATCATCTAACAAAGACAGTCCCTAGAATGGAGGGAAGGACATGAGTTCAAGCTGATTTTCCTTTCTCCTTCAGCCAGAGCTTCTGTACCTGGTGTTTGGTGCGCTCTCTTTTACATTTATGAAAATAAAAGTCAATTCTCCCACAAAAGCAATTTACTTTTTTATCTGTTTAATCATCATGAATTGTTTGAAAGGGATGGTTGTGTGCATTCCTGGTGAATGCATTACAGAGATCTGAAAACCAGTAGGTGTATGGAGCTGCTATGACTCTTGAGAAGGCTGTTTTCTTCTTCTCAAGCATCAACAGGATGAACTGTCTGTGCCTGTTGCCTATGACTTTTCAGAAGGATGTAGGTCTAGAGCATCAGACATTTTCAGCTATAAGATGGTTTTATTTACATATACTTATCATTGGCTCGTTACATATAAAACTCATAATAGGTTCTGCAAAAAGTTCAAAAAGAAACAAAATATACTTTAGAACAACTCAACTAATAGATAATGTTGAACATTTTTAATCCTTACTGATTTATTATTATTATTATTATTATTATTATTATTATTGAGCGTGTGTGTGGAGGGGTGCGTGTGCATGTGTATATGTGGAAGTTAAAGAACAACTTTAAAGAACAGATTCTCTCCTTCCATAGTGGGTTCTGAGAACTAAACTCTGGTCATTAGGCTTACATGGTGTATTAGCTACTTTCTATTGCTGTGATTAACACAGGCCAAAAGCAGCTTAGTGAGGAAAGGATTTATTTGGTTTACAAATTCAGATCACAGTCCATCATTGTAGGAAGCTAAGGCAGAAACCTGGAGGCAGGAACTGAGGCGGAGATCATAAAGAAACACTGCTTACTGACTTGCTGATCAGGCACTGCTCGGCCAGCTTTCCTTATACAACCAGGTACCAGCCAGGGGCAGCACCACCGCACTGGACTGGGCCCTCCCACATCTGACAGGCTTGACCACAGGTCAACTGATTGGGTTCCTTTTGCCCACATGACTCTAGTTTGTTTCAAGTTTGACAAAAACTAACTCACACTCACACGATGAAGGCTTTTACCTGCAAAACCATCTTGCTGGCTCCATTTCCTGAACTTTGTTTAGGATCAATCTTGTTGATGTCCAGGACTGATGGCTAGTAAAGCACTGAAAATGATGCCTGACTTAATCACAGTCTTTGTTCAAATGAGCTCTTTCCTCATCACACATGTGCACAGAGACTTGGTACAGAGACCCCACAGGGAAATCAGGACAACTTCCACATTGATCAGCTGAGATGTAAAGGTATGCTGCAGCCATTCTCTGAACTCAAGTCTGAACCAACTGGCAGTTATTGTCTGGTCTCTGTCTTAAACAGAAGTAGGTACTAAGAACATACATGTGAATAAAATTGTCTTAAAGTCATTTAAATATGCTGGTAAAATTGGTAGACATAGTGGGAAAATAAATTACATCATGAAACAGTAGGTAAGTGTGATAAGAGCTAATGAATCGTTGAAAAACACAGGAAAAATGAAGGAAGGAATATAAGCAACATGCTAATAAAAACTTGAATTTTGAATTTTGGAAGGAAATAATGTGGGAAGTAAACAGTTCAGGTAAGTGGCATAATGAAAATTCATGTGATTTGTGATACACAAGCAGAGGAAGACAGAAGCAGGAGGCTGTGTAGGGATCTGGTTCAGTAGTCCGTGTCAGAGGCAGGAGCATGTCTAGGGATCTGGTTCAGTAGTC